ATTGATGATTGATGGGTGAAGAGTGAGAGGTGCGTTCCGTGGGGTTTGAACCTACAGACTCCCGAGTAAAATTGAGAAAACTTATCCGCTAAACGAAATCAAATTATTGTCAGCAAACTACAATATTTTTTGGGTTAATATCAGAAATAATTGGATACATTTATGTATGTAGTTAATAATCTTAAATTTACATGTATCGCGTTCACTTTCAAATGATTGGACAATGAATATATTAATATCCGCATTGGACCTCAAAGACGCTACAAAATGCTTAAATCTACCTACAATGGGTATTCTTTTTTCCGTAAGAAATTAAGGGTTCAGTTCTCATTCTCCCCGGAGAGGGATCAAAACGCAATGCCATCAACCCTGTTTCTTCTTTTTCTTCCCTGTTTTCTTTTTCTTGAGGCTCCTTTTGAACACGGCCAACACCTCAATGCTGCAATAAATACCCCCACAATTATTCCTACTACATACAAAATTAAGTATTTTTCAAAAGTTTCAACTTTACCAAACAATCAATGGGGGAAAAAAAGTACGTTTTCTTTCAATTTTCCATCTTTACTTACTGCCGAGCACACCAATAGAAAGAGAATATATTTTCCATCTTTCTACTTTTCTATCCTTCCAATTTCTTTCCACTCTACCAAGCAAAGCTTAAGAGTCCAACACTCTACGTACATACATGTTCACTTTATTCGGCAATGAAACATAAGTTCGAAGGAGCAATACCTCTGAGTGCCTGGAAAGAAATTAAAACCATGGGCTTTTTCCAAACGCCAAGACTTGCTAGTCAACAAGGCCTTGCAATCCTGTTATGTAATCCAATCCTAGTTCGTTCATGAAAACTCAAACAAGTTAAAAAAACACTACACAAATCCCAACAATAAGTACCTCTTTGAAGCTTTCCCATCCACAGCTTATATAAATGAGAGTTTCTGGAAGTGATTGTGGATCTCCTGAAATTGTTTCTCTTCCAACTTGAACCGAAGCTTCTTTGGAACGTTCCATTTCGCGTAAAACCCATGGTCTCTTTTCTTCTTTTATATTTGAAGATGAACTGCAAATTCCAAATAACTGAAAAGTTTTCATAATAGGAACTGCAATCAAATCCTCTATATATGGCTTGAAATATACAGAATCATCCTACCCTTTCAAAGACGGTCCAACTTTATGTGATGATATAGTTCGTAATGCATCAATTAAAGATGTGTCTAATCCTTTCCGAGGAGGATCAACAACAATCACATCTGATCCCACAAGCCAAGAAAGAGGATCCTGCAAATTCAATGAATTCATCATACAATTAGGACAGAATTACTCAACAGCCACGTTACATGCCAAACTTCCATCGAAGCTCAAGGCATATAAAAATAATCATATGGAGAACAAATTGTTTGTAATTCCTAAATGAAATGAAAAACCATAAATTTGCATGAGCTTGATACTAACAATGGAAGTATCAGCATTATGCCAGCTAATGCTGCCCTCAATAGACTTTGGCAAGCGGTCAACTGACTTCTCAAATGAGGTCCTAGATTCTTTGTTAATCTCAATGCATTTTACAGACCTGGTAACAAAAGAAATGAAATCAGAATAAAAGATTAGTCTCAAAGAATGCAAGAACCAGAGACAATGAAGTGCTCAGGACATTCCGTTCTTGCCTGCACTTTTTAGTAGCAGCTAGTGATAACCCAATCACACCAGCTCCTGCATACAAATCAGCCACAGACGCTCCAAAAGGCACGTATTTGTGTAACTTCCGAAGCAAATTATCAAAAGCCTGAAGAAGAAGCAACAAGGAAATGTATACAGAGCACAGTTCAAACAAACAATACACCATAAAGCTACAAGTCCTGCAGATATTTAAGTTGTATTATACATCATATGCTGATCTAAATCTCCAGGCAGGGAACAAGATGGAAAAAAGGATCTACACCACACACGTCCTGCATCATGCAGTAAGATACAAAATGGACCAAGATCAACGATATACTCGGATTAGGGTGAGTGTTGGATACAAGTGTGCGTCTGGCAAGAGTGTTTTCAAATTTTTAAATCTTTTTAATGTATTTGGAGGGTCATATTTTCAAATCCAAGTCCAAATATGTGTTTAACACATGCCAGACTCTAGCATTTGAATAAAAATGAAAAGTTGGAGAAACATAGGCCAAAATAGTACACAAACAGCCATGACAATAACAAAAGCCACTGATGGATATACATAGCATTCAGAAGCTGCACCTTCAAACCAGACTCTTGATGTGTATTGTTCATTTCTTTCTTATGATTATTTCTTATGAAAGCATATGTGATAGCATGTCAAATTTGACCAAATAAATTTACAGCTTTGCTTACCCGTGTGTTTGCTTGGCCGAAACTGGAGGGATCCAAGGATATATCAATCCCGCCAACATGTTCCCAGAAATCCCTTTCACCCAAAAGATGTCTCCATCTATTCCCGAAAATTATCTGCATCATAAATTAAGCATTCTAAGTTCCAAATATCCAAAACATTCAGAAAAGGGAAAAACAAATGAACAAAATAGAACTAACAACTCACATTATTAGTAGATGTCTGAAAATTAGCCCACACAGAATGAATCAAATGGAGGTTACTCCTTGACCCAGCATTTCTCCACAAAAACTGCACACCATTAAAAGAAGTAACCGTGGAACAAAACGTTGCCTTTAACAATACAAGGGTATAAAAATTAGGAAGTTGAACTCACATTAGCCAAGGCACTTAATTTGTCCGAATTCGAGGATTTCTCATTCCTTGAATTCCAAACTAAAGAAACCTGTACTCTACCTGGAATCACGAAATCAAAATTTATTCAACTCACTACTTTTGCTTCAAATCATTAAGAAAACATAATATTTTCCAGAAGAAAAAGGGATACAAATTGATTAAACAACCATTTCTATATCTTTCAACAGCCGGAAGTGCAGTATTGTAAGTCGTCACGGCCATCTGGATACATTGAACATTCATCAAGATAGATAAAAAATACAGATTCTAATAATAATCTATTTATTTTCTTGTCAAATTTATATGTTTTATATAATCTGAAAAACTGACCTGAACATATCGCAAATCTCCAGTCCCTTCATCCTCATCGTATGGCTCAATATTTAATTCTCTAATACCTAATGTAAAAAGTGGATTAAGTAAATATAATCAAATTTGAACCCTTTAAAGAAGAAAAAAAAGCGTGCCTTTTCTAAGCAGCTCAACAGCAGCATTAATATTGGGGTGATGAGCTGAAATTGCAAGATTAACATTAAAGAAATCAAATTAAGAACGAAAAGAACATTCATTAGGACCACAAAAAAGGCTTAAAGATAATTGAAAAATGTTAATAAAAAATTCCCATTTTTTGAGACCTTTGCATCGAGGAATATCCACAACGTTATGAGAACCCTCCTCGTAGAGTCCAATCAGAGGGTTCTCCGGTAATCCACGAACGGCTAACTTTGCTCGACATCTCCATCCCCACTGGAAAGAAAAGCAGAGGACCAAAGCCCGTACCAGAAAAATTAAGAATTTTGGGAAAAGAAAAAGAGAAGAAATTTGTAATTGGAAACTAAATAATATGAAATTGTTGGTTAATACCAATCTACAGCTATCGAAAGTAAAATCGGACACTCCAAGACTCTTGAAGAAATTAGAAGCTTCGTCTACGATGACGGGACGGTGTAGATTGAACTCGTGCGTGCATCCAGAGCACCTGAGAAATTACATTTTTTCCTCTTAAGAAAAACTGAAAAATTATTGCGACTAAAACTTAAGTAAAAAAGCAAAAGTTTCTTCTTTCTTTTCGAATGCGAGAGGGGTGCTTACGATTCGAAGTGAGGGCACTGCAAGACGCAAGTTAGCGAGGGGACGGCGGTTGCGGAGGTTGCTGGCGGGAGTAAGGATGGAGGAGGAGAAGCGACCGTTGGCTCTGGGACGGGGGACACGCGACAGGTGATGATTGGGTAAGGTGGGCGTATTGGGAGGGTGTACAGTGACATCTCTGTCGCGCGCGGCTGCCGTTTGGAGATAATTTTGGGACCTTCGGCGGGAATGGATAAGATTTATCGGTTACTATTGTTTATTAACAACGATAAATATCTCAATGGTATAACTGGGTCGGACTATCCATCTTAGACCCGGAATGGATAAATATCTCATCCCGTCGAATATGAAGCTCCAACTCGTGTGTATATATATATTGTGTAGGACAAAGCTTCCATTGTTGTATTGAGTTGCTCTAAATTAAACATATTTGATTGTTTTATTAGTAGGTATATAATTAAATACTACATTCCTTTATGTTTTAATATTTTAAAATAATAATTATCATGTAATATATGTTCATAATTATTTTAGTTTTTAATAAAATATATCTTATAAACATAGTTGTTCGAATTAAGATACTCTAGAAAGAAAAATATTTTTTACCACTGAAGTCACTCAATAAATTCTAATATATTTCATTATTAATCAGTAATTTGTGTTTGATTAAATTAATTCAATTAAAATTAAAATATTTAAAAATATATAAAAACCTGAATCGAATTTCATTTACTAGATGCATGGTTTTTTAAGAGGAATATTAAGAGGATTTTTCTATAAAAAAAACACAAATTGAAGATTTTTTTCTAGATTTTTATTTATTGCCATACTTGAATATACATCAAATATAAATACTTTTTAAAAAAAATGAAGATTTAAAACACCACAAATTGTTGGGATCAAGTAGGTTACAAGTCCCAACCGTACCAAAATATGAAAAGCAAGATTCGGAAAAATCATAGCCACATGCTTGATGCTCAACTATCATTACGCCATGCCCCCATCAAATTCAGCATAGGCAAGGAACAATCAGCATGAATTTGTCTTAAATCCATTTGCATAAACCTCATTAGGCATATATGTGTTTCGGAATGTAACTGATTTAAGCAACTGGTCCATTCGATACTGGTTATAGTCGCAGCTTCCCGACCATGGTTGATCAATCATCAGTTCCAAAATATCGATCACCAAATTCACCCATACCTGGTACGACCCGGAACTCCCCGTTTAGTGCGATGTCGATTTCCGACGTGACAATTTTCAAGGACGGGAACCGTTTACAAACACAGTGAATTCCTTCTGGTGCCTGAGGAAAAGAAAACGAGGGTTGAGTATATAGGAGAGGAAAAGAGAAAAGGTGGAACGAAGGATTGCGAGGTAGTAGATGCATCGACCGCCTTCGATACAGAAAATACTCACAGAGACGAGGTTCAGGAATATAATGTGAGATTCCGGAACTCCTTTCTGTATGAGTAGTTCGATGGCGTGGTTAGCAGAGTTCCCTACAAGAAAAGCCATTATGATGGTTTCTCATTGGAAGGCATATATATATATAGTCGAAGAATATGAAATAATATCGTATGTATTTCCAGGGACCATAACATGAGCTGAAAACAGATGTATTCCTCGAAATGATCTGAAACTGATGACAATATTCTTAAATTTTATAGCCAGAAGAATTTCTAATTTATGATTTCTTTGGCTATTTCTTTCCCATGTTGTTTTGTCTCTTCGTTTTTCTTGACGTACCAACGTCAAAAAGGGACGAAGCCAGAAACTTGGTGTAACTTTGAAGGGGCGAAAGATAAAAAAATTATTTTAAATGGTTTAAATTAAATACTTAACTTTCAGGAGGAGCCAAAAGTGAAATTTAATCATTCTGATAAAGGCTTAAATTAACTTTTTAATATTAGAGAGGGTCTAACAATGAGTGAAAGCTTTTGAATACCTTTCTTTCCCTTAATCTACTATTGCAATAGTATAGTGGCAGTCAGTATTAACAAATGGAGAACCATGTTGCACCAGCTCTTCATTTTCTCTGACCACTCGTACATGACACCCCATGTTTAACACATATTTGAACTCGAATATGCAGATATGATTAGGGCTATAGTCTATAAAAAAGATAAAACGGATCGTAAGTTGCTCGAATTCGACTCGATCAAAGTTCGGTTAACACTTAATGCGAATGGACTTGACTCGAGTTCTTAACGAACCGAAACGAGCTACTTAATACCCAATTTAAGAAGCTCGCGAATAATTCGAAAAAATAATATATTAAAATTTAAAATTTTAAATTAAATTATTAATAATATTAACATATATATGTTGTTGTTTTTTAATACAATATAAGGTTTTCGTGTACTTAAGGTTCATGTTTGAGCTAGAGTTCGTGCTTGAACCAAGATCGAGTCCGAGCTTCAACCAAACTAGTTTGAGAATGTTTCAAGTTTAAGTTTTTTCAAGCTCCGGTCAAGCTCAGCTTTGTACCTTTTTAATTGAGTTGAGCTCAACAATCCTCGAGCTCAACAATCCTCGAGCTCGACTCATCTCGTTTACAACCCTATATATAATGTTTCAAGGATCTTATAAATACATAGAGAAACTTGAACAAAAGTGAGCATTTTCCGTGTCAGACATATACTTGTATCTAACACTCATACTCAAGTTCAAGTAACATAAGGAAAAATGTGGCTTATAGGAAGATAAACAAACTTACCTGTAGCAAGAACAGGATCCAGAAGGAGGACATGCCTTTCTGAAATATCCTTGGGAAGCTTCTCGTATATAAGCTAAAAATATCCAAGAATTCTGATTAACACCTAAGATTATAAGTAATACACTAATACCTAACAGCATAAAGATGGCAATAACGTTACCTGTTTTCCATCATCTCCATCACGGTGAATCAGAATTTTTCCAATTTTTATTCCTTTGCAACATGCACGTAAGGCGTTTTCCATGCTTTCACCACTGTAATAAACAAAAAAGAGAAAACCTTATCTACGAAATTAAAACGAAATTCTCAGATCAATTGGGCATGTCTTATGTACCAAACATCCAGAACAATACAATGGAAATTCATCTCAGCTTTCATCATATATAACAAAAGATCGCTCAACACCCCACATCTTGATCAAACAAGGTCTGCTAAATAACCAGAAGAAAAAAAGACCAAATCAACACCTTATCAAAAACTCACCTTCGAACAATGGAAACACCACATAACTTTTTGCAAAAGTCAACCCCGGTATATATAGATCCTGAAAAGAAAAAGGAGCAAATTACAAAGGTAAGTAGAATATTAATTGCTTTCGGTATAAGACATCTTAAGAACAACACAAGTTTGCAGGATCTTTTGTGGATATCTCTCAGCCGCAAATATCTACAACGGAGAACTGAAAATTTAAAGAAATGAGAACGGTGACATAATTATTTAACTAAACATACCTGTAGGTGTTATTACTTGCTTCTCGATGAATGGCAAATGCCCAAGACCATGCTCCACCACCTAAAAAAAAAGGTAAATCAGCTACATTTGGCATGTAAAAAAACATTTAACAAAAGCAAAGCTCAGTTTACACATAATATATAAAACAGAAGGTACCAGACGAATAAGCCGATCTGAATAAAAGACAAAATCGTGCTTAGAAATCTCCTGGTCTCTAATCAGAGTATGCATTCCTCTGATCTGCACCATAAGTCTTACATATGGTTATTTAATAATAATAATAATGATAATGATGATATAATGACCTTACAAAGATCATAGACATAAAAGCAACAAATAAATTACACATTATACAGAAAATAGTAATAACTTAAAAGTATACAGGTGAGACCATGTCCAATGAGAAAATATATACTTCAACAAGTTATAATCGAATTAAGATAGAGATAAACCACTAGAGTACCTGAAACGTAGACTGGATTACATTTGCATTGGGATATATTTTGCAGATACCGTGCTGACCAAGCTTAGTGTAGATATGTTGCACAATCAAATCAATGGCAACATGATTATCACCTCCTCGGGGAATGATGACATCAGCATACTTCTTTGATGGAAGAACAAAATCATCAAAGGCAGGCTTGACAAACTTTGCATACTGCAAAAATAACACAGCATTGCAATGTAATTATCAAAATGTTGGGAAAATTGAAGGAATAAGGAGGCACATTAATCAAAGTCTGCACAAGTGTTTTAATGGAATGGAATGTTATGAGAACAAGTGAATATTCTGTTTCAAATCTACAAACAACCAGTGTTTATGCTTTCAGATTTTTATTTTAGTATTTAAATACAAAAGACACACCACACAAGTAAAACGAAAAGATGCAGCATGTACTCAGATTTTTCAAGTATGAAATTACAAAGAAAATTAGGTATAGCCCGCTTACTTGTTCAAGAACAGAGCTTACATCCCTACCCCTATCAACCGTGTCTCGTTTTATTCTACGAGAAAGCCTCACATCAGCATCTACAAGCAATAGAGAACCATTACCATAAGAGAACCATTACCATAAGAGAACCATTACCATCGTGTATGCATGCTGAACATATAAAACCAATGCATGCAAACTCATTCAACTAAGTAAAGCAATGGAGTTCTAAGTGTAATTTGAAACAATTTTCTAAGTGTAATTTGAAACAATCATTTCTGAAAGTTAATTGTCTACCAGCTTGCAGGCCTCATATTACAGCTCAAAACAGTTTGCAGTTAGCAATTAAATTCAAAAATTGATTTCAGCTTTGTTTTATACATGAGCTTCAACATGATCTAGGACCTCTATCGGCTTTTCTTATAGACATTTAATTTCAATTTCGTTTCTACCAATCTTGTATTTCCTGTTATTAGAACTTATGATTTTATTTTGAGTGGTAGGCAACATCCACGGGTTGATTAACCTTTTATATAATTATATCAATGCATGATCTTAAGTAAAGAAAGGATCTGGCATCTTCAGTAAATTATAAGTATAAATATGTCCAAAACAGGCGTTGGGGGATGCTATGATGGTAAGGAACTAGGTAAAAGTGGTCAAACCTGTGTCAACAAAAATCTTCATATTCATAAGGTTCCTAACACGCTGATCATGGAAAACAAGAATTCCTTCCAAAATTATGACATCAGAAGCATTCACCTGACAATGGTTAAACACGAATCGTATCCATATAACCTTTCCCACTTAATGAATTACCATCGATGAATTATATATTTTACAAAGCCATAGAGAACTCAATAATTAACAAACTAAGAAAATGAAAAACTCAAGTGTAAATAAGAATTAGTGTATTACTATAGAATCGAAACTGATGGGAGAAAAAAACAACTATTACATGTTCTTAATTGAATACACCTAGCTTTTCATGCATCATCATACAAATTTCAACAACAACAAAAACTTCCTACCTGTCGAAAACTATCTGAAGACCGTTGGTGATGCTTAAAATCATAGATTGGGACCTGAACAGATTGCCCACTTTTGAGCATCAGAACACAATCCAGAAGCTGCTCAGTATCAAAAGCATCTATAAAAAACCACAATGCATAATCAGAACAACAACATCCAATATAACATAAAACAAAAACAAAATAGAAAAGAAATCAAATTAACATACCAGGATGATCAAAATTATATTCGTGAACGCGTTTTAACTCTTCAGCAGTTAAACCACGGTAAAACGAGTCCTTCATTCATAAAAAGAAAATGTGAGCTCAAAGTTTGGTAAGTGTCAGTAAAAAAAGAGTGAACAAATCATCTAGAATCTAAACCTGATTTACAAGAACAACACGGTGATCGTGAAGCTGTTGGATGATCATATCACAGACGGTAGTCTTACCAGAAGCAGTACCTCCTGAAACGCCTGCATAATTACAAAAAAAGAGAAAGAAAAGTTTCCTTTAATTTAATTTTGAGTAACCGGAATCTCAGAGAAAAAAAAACGACGAAATCAGCAAAGTTTTGGTCAATGAATACAGCCAAAAAAAAAGTTCAATGAGAAAAAAAATTCTATATTTCTTTGTTCATGTAGACGAGAAGTGAGGGATACCGATGACGAAGGGCGGATTGGGAGCATTGGCGTCGGAAAAGGGGGAGGATGAGGCGGTGGCGGTTGGGCTATGGAAGCCGGAGAAATGAGGCCCCGATGCCTTCTCCATAACGTAATCAATGGAGATCTTCTTCTTCAGTGGCATCGTTTAAATATATATAAAAAAATCGAACCTGAAAATATCGAAAAAGGAAATAATTTATTTCCTTTGAAATTCCAACTCAACAGTTGAATCACCTAATGAGGTATACGAAACAGGGAGAACGGATTGATTCTAGTCAAAATATTTTGAGTAATTTTATAAATAGAGGTGAGTCGAGTCAAATTTTTGAGCTTCTGTTTAAATGTAATTGTATTTTTTATAATATTATGATATTATTTGATTTCAATTTAAATTATTTTTTATAATTATATACAATACAAATATATATTTTTCATATTTTTTATATGTGATATATTATATATGTCATATAGAGTCGAGAGACTCGACTTAAACTTAAAAATTAATATACTAATTATTAAAAATTTCGAGTTATTCAAATTATTTTTTGAGTTATTTGAATTATAGTTCACAAATTTGAACTTAATTTTTTTTTTCAAATTGAATCAATCTTATAAAATTATAATTAAAATTTAATTCAAATCAAGTAAAAAAAATGAAGTTTTCAAATTATTTAAATTTTACTCACCTAATAAAGGAATGGCTGTGCTTTCTTCTCTATATCTCACGCACGTAAGGGAAAAAAAACTTAAAATGTTTAATATATATATATATATATATATATATATATCAATTAAGATTCACCTATACCTAATGTAAAACCTTTAATTTTACATAATTTTAAGATCATTAGATAAGAAAAAAATTAAAGATCAAGATTAAATTTTTACTTTTTTTAGTGAATAACTTCACGTTTTTTACTATTAATCTTAATCTTTGATTTTTCTTTATCTAACGATCCTTACAAAAAATGTGTAAATTAAAAAGTTTTTCGCCATATATACGTTACCGAGAATGGTTCAAACCGGTCAGTTGTATAAACCGAATCGACCATTGAACCTATTATATCTCGATTTTTTATTTAATTGATTTAATAATAATTGAATGACAAATTAAAATTTAAAATCTGACTGAAAAGTCTGTTTTTACCATGTTTCGATTTTTTCTAAGTTCACAATAATTTATAAAATTTTCAATTTTACTTTACTAATTCAATTAATTGAATTATTAATTTTTAATTCAATAAATTTAATTAACTGATTCATATTTAAATAATTGTTTTTATTTAAAATTATATTTGATTTTTTAAAATATTAAAATTGGTATTTATAATTTTTTTAATCCAAACAAGTAAATAAATTTAAGTTACCGCAGGCATTTTGGATATTGAATATTATTTAATTCAAGATTTTAGATATTTAAAAAATTAGTTCGTTAAAATTATGGTTTTTATTTTATTCAACAAAATTATATCTGAATATAAGAATTTATTTGACAACAAAATTAGATTTAGATTTTATATGTCATCACTTTATGCAACATATTTTATATACTATTATATTCTCTCTCTCTATATATAATTATCCACACACAATAAACAATTATATCCTAATTTTTATAAGACTGAAGCATTAGTGTGGGTTACTCACTTATTGAACAAAAGGTCGTCTAAATTCTGAAGTCTCAATTTTTATTGAATTTTCGGATAAATTAACATTAGAATTTAGATGGTCCGTATTTAATCTTATTCACTTTTTTTCCCGTTTATTTGATGTGAATTATCCAAAAATAAAAAATGAACCGGATATCTAAATTTTTAGAACATATCAACCAAATCAAAATCTTTTTCACACTTCTAATGTTTAAAATATAATAAATTTTATATTTTCATATATTGAACTATTAATATATTTTTTTATTTCTTTTATATGTTCAGAGCCAAATATGTCAAATTAAATTAGTAGATGAAAATTTTAGTTGTTGTTAGTGATATAAATGTTAGAAATAATGTTAGATCCTTACGCATAGAGAAAAATCCATCCATCCATCAGTTACTACTCAAAAAGCTTATTCTTTTAAATATTCCTTCTGATCTTCAACATCAAAATCCTTCACCATGTACAATTAGTTCTCTAGATAAGAAAGGAACCGGAAGAGATGATAAGGAGTGCAAGGAAGATTAGGGTTTATTGTCATTATATAAAATGTAAAGTACATAAATGGTTTTTCGATTATGGAGCGTTGTCTCGTTGAGTCTCTGACTATTAAAAATTATTATAAATTAGTTCCTGAATATAGGGTAATATTTTATCGAGCCCTTTAACAACTAAAAATTATAAAATGGTCACTCGACTATTCATATATTTCAAACTCGTCTTTTCCTGTTAAAAATTGACGATCCTCTAACTCGAACGTTAACCCGTTGACCGAGATATGATAAAATCATATTTTAATGATGTCTACTGGCATCACTGTTGCTTTCAAACATTAACTCAAAGATATAATATTTCAAGCATTGGCTCAACGATATAATGCAAACAAAGAGTCGATCCATAAAATATAGCTCAAATGATTATGGGATCCAATTTTATCATATCTCAATTAATAGGTTAATGTCCAACTTAGACGGTTGATTTTTTTTAATGGAAAAGGAGAAATATGGAACATATGAATAGTCAGATGATCACTTTGTAATCTTTAATAATCAGATGACTTAACAAAATAACATCTTATAATTAGATGATCATTTTTTATTTTTTAATAATTAAATGACTGAATAAAATAATAACCTATAATTGGGATCAATTTTATACTATAGCCTTAAATATAAAGGTTTTTACTTTAATAAAATAGCACACCACCAATCAACTTTTTCAATAATTAATTTCCTTTGACAGTACAGGTTGATGATCGGTCCCTTTCTCCATTCACTCCGTTTCCTTTTTTTTCCTTTTCAGACATTTGTTGAAACTCATCTACAGACTTTTTCACACTTTCTTGATTACCGATTCGAAAATGGCCGAGGCTGTCATCAGTGTAGCCGTAGAAGTGGCTCTGTCCAAGGTTATCTCCATCCTTGAAGACCCAATCAGCCTTGCATGGGATTTCAAGGACGAGCTGAACAAGCTTCGTTCCTCACTTTCTCTCACTCGAACTTTCTTGCAAGATGCAGAGAGGAGGCAACTTGATGAACCTGTCAAAGTCTGGTTGGAGCAGCTGAGAGATATTGCTTCTAAGACCGATGATGTCTTGGATGAGATTGCTTACGAGCATCTTCGCAGGAAGGTGGACACCCGAAAGAGAACGCAGGTCAGGAACTTATTTTCTCCCTCCAAAAGTCTGTTGGAAAAAACAGGTTATTTCCCACACGAACGTAATTTTAAAATTGATTTAAAATGTCAAAATTAAAACTATCAAATGTTGCACAGCGGATAAACATGTCAAACTATTGAATATTGAAACACAATGAAAAATAATCGAATAAAAAACAATAAAGGAGAAGACACACCAAATTTACGATGTTCGACGAGAATATCGTCTACTCTTCGGGCACCACACCGGATGATAACTTCACTATATCGCCAATATTATAACAAATGAAATTCTTTGGAATTCCCAAAGTGGGAGAATGAAGAATACAAGAGAAAGAGAAAACTTGTTTTTTGGATGATTTCTAATGAAAATACTTAGGCCTATTTATAGTTAAGTTTCAAGAACAATATGTTCAAAGTTTGGCCACTACCAAAGAATTTTCCAATGTGTACAAGTTAGCCACCAAATATGAAATTCACATGTTCAAAGTTTGGCCACCAACCAAGATGAAATTTCCAATAAGTTAGCCACCAACCAAGATGAAATTTCCAATTTGTCAACTTAATTTCTAGACAAATCTAACAAATCTCTACCTTGGCTTGAAATTACCAAGCCTACTCAACTTCTTCAACTCCCCAAATTTATAGTGCCTCTAATTGCGCTCACAAGCGCCACACACCCGAAGGTGTTCATACTTTCAGGATGTTAATCAAGTCCAAACAATGATTGAACTTGATTACTGTTACCACCTTGGTCATCATATCTGCAGGATTTTTTGATGTTGCAATTTTCTGAAGTAGAATCTTTCATTCTTCAAAGATCTCTCGCACAAAGTGATACCTCACGTCGATATGCTTAGTCCTTGAATGGTAGACTTGATTTTTCGCTAAGTGAATAGCGTTCTGACTGTCACAATAGAGACTAATGTGACTTTGAACAACTCCCAAGTCTTCCATCAACCCGTTAAGCCAAATTGCTTCCTTTATAGCCTCTGAAACTGCCATGTATTCTGCCTCTGTAATAGACAAGGCCACCGTAGATTGCAAGTAGACTTCCAACTTACTAGGGCTTTAGCAAGAGTAAACAAATACCCAGTAGTTGATCGACGCTTATCCAAATCACCAGCATAATCGGAATCAACATATCCAACCATACACTGACCAAGTGCTTCATCCTGTTCAAAAACTAAACCAACATCCACGGTTTGTTGGAGATACTGTATAATCCATTTCACAGCTTGCCAATGTCCTTCTCCAGGATCATGCATGTACCTGCTCACAACTCCAACTACTTGTGAAATGTCAGGACGTGTACACACCATTGCATACATCAAGCTCCCAACTGCATTAGCATATGGAACTTTTGCCATATACACTCGTTCTTCGTTAGTTTTAGGAGATAATTGAGAACTAAGTTTCAAATGAGAAGTCAATGGGATACTTACATGTTTGGTATTTTCATTCATGCCAAAACATTGTAATACCTTTTTCAAATACTGCTTCTGTGTTAAACAAAGCTTCCCTCTCTGTCTATCTCTGCTTATCTCCATACCAAGAATCTTCTTGGCCTCACCTAGATCTTTCATCTCAAACTCTTGATTCATCTGAGCCTTTAATTTGTCTATCTCCTTTTGACTCTTCGAAGCGATCAACTTATCTTCAACGTACAAGAGAAGATAAATGAAAGATCCATCTTTGAGCTTTTGCAAATACACACAATGATCATATTTGCTTCTAGTATACTTTTGCCTCCTCATAAAGCTATCAAATCGCTTGTACCACTGCCTCGGAGATTGCTTCAATCCATATAGCGATTTGTTTAGCTTACAAACCCATTTCTCACAACCACCATCTTTGTATCCTTCTGGCTGTGTCATATAGATCTCCTCTTCTAAATCACCGTGCAAGAAAGCCGTCTTTACATCAAGTTGAGCTAGCTCCAAATTCAACTGTGCTACCAAGGCCAACAATATTCTAATGGAGGAATGCTTCACAACAGGAGAAAATACTTCATTGTAGTTGATTCCCTCCTTTTGAGCGTAGCCTTTAGCTACCAACCGTGCCTTGTAGCGAACATCTTTCTTGTTATGAGATCCATCTTTCTTTACAAATACCCACTTGCATCCAATGGCTCTTTTACCTTTCGGTAATTGTGCCAGTTTCCAAGTGTCGTTCTTTTGGAGAGATTGCATTTCTTCATCCATGGCACTTTTCCACTTATCACTTTCCAAGCTTTGTATTGCTTCTTGGTAAGTGATAGGGATATCATCATCAACAACTGGAAGAGCATAGGCCACCATATCAACAAATCGAGCAAGTCTACGAATTTCTCTCCTTGGCCTTGTAACTGCAAGTGTTTCTGGTGTCTCCAATGGTTCTTGGGTTTGAACCTCTTCATCTTCTGATTCTTCTATTGGAGTTGAAGAATCAGCTGCATCAACTTCTAGGATCATCATCTGCTGAAACTCCACCTGTTTTGGAGTATGCTCCACCTGCTGCGGAGTACTACTTGTCTGGATAGCTTCACTTGTTACCTTCTTTACTAGGGCAGATTCATCAAAGGTAACATCTCTGCTACAAATTATCTTCTTGGTGTCTAAACACCAAAGGCGGAATCCCTTCACTCCATGGGTGATTCCCATAAAGAGAGCCTTCTTTGCTCTCAGATCAAGCTTGGATTCCTTCACATGATAATAAGCAGTGGATCCAAATACATGTAAGAAATCATAATCAGTAGCAGGTTTTCCAGACCATACCTCCAATGGTGTTTTTCCTCCTATCGCTGATGACGGCAGACGATTAATGAGATGGCCAACATATGTCACAGCCTCAGCCCAAAATGCCTTGCCTAACCCAACATTAGACAACATACATCGAACTTTCTCCAATAGTGTTCGATTCATACGGTCTGCCACCCCATTCTGTTGTGGTGTATGTCTAACAGTGAAGTGTCGAACAATACCATACTCATGGCAAACGTCAAAGAATGGGTCACTTTTATATTCCCCTCCATTGTCCGTCCTAAGACGTTTGATCTTTCTACCAGTCTGGTTCTCGATCATATTTTTCCATTTCAGGAAAATTTGAAGCACTTCATCTTTAGACTTCATCGGATACACCCAAACTCTTCTGGAAAAGTCATCTACAAAAGTTATAAAATAATGGTTTCCTCAAAAAGACGATGTCTTTGAAGGACCCCATACATCTGAGTGAATATAATCTACAATACCTTTTGTATTATGTATAGTGGTGCCAAACTTCACTCTCTTCTGCTTTCCCAGAACACAATGCTCGCAAAAGTTCAATTTACAAGCCTTTGCACCTTTCAACAATCATTTCTTTGCCAGAATTTGCAAGGATTTCTCTCCAGCATGTCCCAACCGCATATGCCACAACTGGGTTGCGTCCAAATCATCACCTCCGGAAGCTGCTGCAACTGCTCCAATACCTTGGTAGTAATACAAATTATTTTTCCTGATGCTCTTCATCATCACAAGTGCGCCATATGTGACTTTTAAAACTCCATCTCTCATAGTGACTACTGAGCCTTTGGATTCTAAGGCTCCCAATGAGATGAGATTTTTCTTCAAACTGGGCACGTATCGGACATCAGTCAGAACTCTGGTTGATCCATCTTGATTCTTCAATCGAATTAAACCTATCCCAACAGTTTTACAGGCAGTTTTACAGGCATTGTCATTGCCCATATAAACAACTCTTGCATTTAGTTCCACTAAATCGGAGAACCACTCTCGATTAGGGGACATATGATATGTGCAACCCGAATCTAATATTCATTCATCGGAATGGAATGTTGTTGATGAAACAACCAATGATATGTCAGAGTCATGTGCATCATGCTCTGCAACACATGCATCTGGAGCTGCTTTTCCTTTCTTCTTCAGCTTCGGACAATCTTTCTTCCAATGGCCTTTCTCATGAAAAAAAGGCACATTCATCTTTTCCCAGTCTGGACTTCGACTTTGATCTCCCTCTCCACTTTGACTTTTGACTTTTCGAGCGACCTCTTGCCACCATGACCTCTGCTGCGTCGTACTTGCTCTCCTTCTTGGTTTTCTTCCTGAGTTCATAACTATACAAAGCAACAGTTACATCTTTAAGGGTAACATTATCCTTACCATGAAGTAACGTTGTCTCAAGGTGCTCAAATTCATCTGGAAGAGATGACAACAACATCAAAGCCAAATCTTCATCTTTGAAGGTTTCATCCATGCCCAATAAGTCTTCCACTAGCTCATTGAACGCAGTGATGTGTTCATTCATACTGGTGTCTGGTTGATAATCAAATCTGAACAATCTTTTCTTCATGTGGAGATGATTCTGAGAGCTTTTCTTCAGGAATTTTTCCTCCAAAGCTTTCCACATCTTACTTGCAGAAGTCTCGTTCTTGTAGCCATACTTCTGCTCCCTGGAAAGACAAGATCGAATCGTGCTGCACGCCAAACGATTGATTGTTCCCTATTCTTTCACCTCCATATATTTGGGCTTTTCTTCCTCAATACCGATGTCTAGACCTTGTTGGAATAAATCGTCTAACACCACGCCTTGCCACATGCCAAAATGATCGGATCCATAGAACAACTCCACCGAGAAATTTGCATTTGACATCACCCTCCTCACCGGTCCAGATGAAGAGCTTGATGTCTCAACTGATCCGTATTTTGGCATTTTAATTCTAAAGAACAATATTCAATATCACGAACTGTATCTTTTTAGCAACGAAACCACCAGGATAACCTCAACCGAAGCTCTGATGCTAATTGTTGGGAAAAACGAGTTATTTCTCACACGAACGTAGTTTTAAAATTGACCTAAAATGTCAAGATTAAAACCACTAAAGGTTGCACAGCGGATAAACCTATCAAACTATTGAATATTGAAACACAATGGAAAAGAACCGAATAAAAAACAATAAAGGAGAGAACACACCAAATTTACGAGGTTCGACGAGAATATCGTCTACTCCTCGGGCACCACACCGGATGATAACTTTACTATATCGCCAATATTACAACAAATGAAATTCTTTGGAATTCTCAAAGTGGGAGAATGAAGAATACAAGAGAAAGAGAGAACTTATTTTTGAGATGATTTCTAATGGAAATACTTAGGCCTATTTATAGTTGAGTTTCAAGAATAATATGTTCAAAGTTTGGCTACCTACCAAAGAATTTTCCAATGTATACAAGTTAGCCACCAAATATGAAATTCACATGTTCAAAGTTTGGCCACCAACCAAGATGAAATTTCCAATAAGTTGGCCACCAACCAATATGAAATTTCCAATTTGTCAACTTAATTTCTAGACAAATCTAACAAAATCCCATGACAATTACTCTAAATATGGCTAAAAAGGTTAAGAATATTAGCCAGTCCATTAAGGATGTTAACCGTCAGGCCACAGAGTTAGGACTCCAACAACGAGTTCAACTTTCGGCTCCAGTGTCTAGTGGAGTACGAGGAGGCACCCACTCCCTGGTTGACTCATCACGTGTTGTGGGAAGGGAAGCTGATGTCCGAAGAGTAGTTGATCTCTTGATTGGTTCAACCACTCATCAAACCTTGTCAATAGCATCCAGACTAGGCATGGGTGGTCTGTGAAAAACTACTTTAGCAAAGTCTGTATGCAACAATGACAAAATACAGAACCATTTTAACACAACAATATGGATCTGCGTGGCTGAAAATTTTGATGTCCGAAGGATTTTAGGGGAGATGTTAGAATCTCTAACTAGAAAGCCTTGTGAGATCAAGAACCAGGATGTTGTACTTCGTGAAATACAAAAGGAGTTGAAAGAGAAGAGCTTCCTTCTTGTGCTTGATGATGTGTGGGATGAGGACATTAAAAACTGGGAGGACTTAAGGGGCAGTTTGCAGGTATAAATGAAAGTAAACAAAGTTGGATTCTTGTCACAAGTCGCAGTGAAAATGTTGCATTAGTAAGGGAAACACCTCCTGGTCACAGGCATCATCTTAAGGAAGTGATAGATGAGGAGTGCTGGTCCATTATCAAAGAAAGAGCATTTGGAAACTCTCCCCTATTACCAGAAATGGAAGCTATTGGAAGGGATATTGCTCATAGGTGTGGATGCGTGCCATTGGTCGCAACGGTTATAGGCGCAACTATGTGCAACAAATGGGATAGAGATGAGTGGTCGTCACTAAGAGATAGCTCTATTTGGGGTTCATTAGAAAAGAATGAAGGGATTGTACGTATTCTGAGATTAAGTTTTGATCGCTTGTCTTCTCCATCTTTAAAGCAGTGCTTTGCATACTGTTCCATTTTTCCTAAGGGTTTTAGGATCCAAAGGGATCAATTGATCCAACTTTGGATGGCTGAAGGCTTCCTTCAACAACCCAAAGGAAGCTCACAACTGGCATTTGAGGATATTGGTAACGATTACTTCAATGACTTGCTATCGAATTCTTTATTGCAGGATGAGGAAAAGGATTTGTACGGTTGCATTACAAGTTGCAAGATGCATGATTTGGTTCATGATCTAGCTCATCCGTTTCACATGTTAGGCGACAACAAAATGTGTTTGATGATGTGAAATTGTGGCACTCCTTATTCTTAAATTCTGGCAGCTCCTTCCACATGGTAATAGACTTCAAAGGTTTGCGTGTTCTTAAATTTGGGGGTGTTGGTGTTGAATCATTGCCAGACTCGATTGGCGAGCTAAAGCATTTGAGATACTTTGATATATCGGGAACGTACATTCGTAGACTACCAATGTGCATTAGGCAACTCTATCTTTTGGAGACAATAAGATTATTGTGGTGCTTTGACCTCGGACACCTTCCTGGAGGAATGAAAAGTTTAGTCAACTTGAGGCATTTGTATATCAATTATCAACGTCATGTTCCTGTCGAGGTAGGATGCCTAACTAGTCTTATAACTTTGCCATTATTTGTGGTGGGTAGAGAAAGGGGAAGAGGAATTGAGGAATTAGGATTTTTAGTTGAACTTGGAGGAGAATTGGTCATTGATGATCTTCAGAATGTTCGAGACAAAGAAGAAGCTAGGGGAGCAAGATTATGGGAGAAGAAAAAGTTACACAAGTTGCAATACCGATGGAATTTCAGGTGGAATCTCGGATTTGGTACGGATGAGGAAGTGTTGGAACCTCACTCAAATTTGAAAAGCTTAATTATTGAGTATTATGAGGGAGAGTACTGTCCATCATGGTTGCAAGGGAAGATTGGTGGTGGTGACCCAAGTTCTTCTTTTCAACCCATGAATTTGGTAGAGTTGAAACTAATTCATTGTAAGAATGTGAAGAATCTTCCACCACTTGGGCAATATCCTAATCTCAAATTTCTTGAAATAGAAGGCTTACACAGTGTGAGAGGCATAGGAAATGAATTTTATATGAATGGTTGTGATTAGAATAAGCCACTCATCTTATTTCCAGCATTGGAAGTTTTCACCCTAAAGGATATGGCAGAGGTAAAAGAATGGTTAGAAATGGAGCCGGAAATTCCTGCATTTCCATCACTAAAAGTGTTGAAAATTGTAGATTGTTTCAGTCTAAACACTGTTCCAAGAATGAGTAGGTTTTCTTCTCTCGAGAAACTCAAGATCGCCGAGTGTTTTCAGTTGGGTTGGATAGGCGATGAACCATTTCCCTCTACTCTAAAGAAACTAACACTAAGGAATTGCCATAACTTAAGGCTCATTCCCCATTTAGACGGTTTGTCCTCTCTCTTAGAATTAAGGCTGCTAAAATGCTACGGATTAAAAAGTTTACCATCTGGACTGTCAACATGTATCTCTCTTAGGCAATTGTTCATATATGATTGCAGTAATCTGGAGTCAATTCCAGAAGATGTAGGGAAACTAAATTGTCTCGAGAAATTGTGTATTTGTTATTGTGGAAACTTGAAAAGGCTCCCAGAAGAGAGCCTTGGGTGCCTCACAAGTTTGAAGAGATTGCAATTGGGTCCCTTCTCTAAAGAGTTGGAGGAATTCCCAGGTCTTGGTTCCATCCACCACCTCCACTCTTCCCTTAAAGAATTGAGGTTGGATGCACGGGATAAACCATGCTCTTTGCCCGCACTTGAAGAGTTAGATATTCGGTACTTCAATGGACTCGAAGAGTTGCCAGAGTGGTTGGGAAACCTCTGCTCTCTGCGAATTCTATGTTGTTGGAGTTGTACAAATCTGGTGCATCTGCCATCCAAGGAAGCCTTGCAACGCCTCTCGAATTTGCATTTAGTCCGTATATTCGATTGTCCGCGCTTACGAGAAAACGATGCCGAGCTGGCCAAGATACCCTGCACCCCAAATTTTAGTCCATTTTAATTAGTTCCTTACACTTGTAACTTGTAAGGGGTCAGCTTTAGTTTTCTTAATCCTTCAAATGCTTCAACCCCTATATTTTTCCACATTTGCTTCACATTATCCAACTGTTAGACATCAACTTAGTTTCTTTGCAATACTTTTTTCTTCCAATTGTTAGGCTCACCATTTGCTAATGTTATATCTACAGCAAAGGCTGTCGAAAATTTGCAGACGCCTAAGATGAATGAGATGGGAAAGAGAGGAGGATGATGGGTCCTTTAGTCCACAGTTGGTGGCCGATGTTATTGATATCTTGGCCTCAACAACGACGACTGTTAAACCATGTAACAAAATGGTATTATATCAGTTGGACTAACACGCTACATTAGGATTCCGTCACCCCCAATGATGACTATCTATGTTAGGTGTCGATTTATTATAAATTAATAACAACGTTAATTATTAAATCATTAATTTTAAAATATTATTAAAAAATTGCTTAAAATATCAGTTGACGCTTGTCATAAACTACATGGATATTTACAAACGTAAAGGGAAAAGACAAGCACTTGGCAAGTGCTAAACCACGTAAAACGTGCGGTGTCACGTGGGGACAGCGTGGCATAAACCCTCCTTCTCCTCTTTTTTTTAAATCGCCACCTAACTTTGTAAACTACGTTTTAATTCAAACTTTTGAAACTCCAAAAAGATATAAAATGAACGGCGCCATTAGTACTTCCCGCCAACTTTCAGAGTAGAGATATTTTCACATCAAAAGCTTCCATTGTACGCTCGACCGTTATCCGCTCCATCAATATTTCAAAATTTTATTATTCGGTATCCAATCACAATGCCACACGTAAACTAATTCACCCAAATTATCCTTCTCCGCGGTTTATTCTTCCCCGGCAAGCTTCTTCCAAAAATAATTTTCAAAATCCCGCGCTCATTTTAGCCTATAAATGCCTTCTCCCCCTTCCCCAAATTATTCATCACAAAATCAATTCTTCAGGAAAAAAAGCCCCCGTTTTCTCTTTTCAATTTCCAAGTTGCCCTTCCAAAATGCCTTCAATTCCAGAAGAGCCACTGCTGACCGAGAACCCAGACCGGTTTTGTATGTTTCCGATCCAATACCCACAAGTATGGGAAATGTACAAGAAAGCCGAAGCGTCCTTTTGGACTGCCGAGGAAGTCGATTTGTCTTCCGATCTCCGTCACTGGGAAACTCTCACCGCCGACGAGCGCCACTTCATCACTCACGTTCTCGCCTTTTTTGCAGCCTCTGATGGTATTGTCCTTGAAAATCTTGCCGTCCGGTTCATGAAAGAGGTCCAAATCTCCGAGGCGCGTGCTTTCTACGGTTTCCAGATCGCCATTGAAAATATCCACTCCGAGATGTACAGTCTGCTCCTCGAGACTTACATCAAAGATTCCGAGGAAAAGAGTCGCCTCTTCCGTGCCGTTGAAACGGTACCGTGCGTGGCTAAAAAGGCCGAGTGGGCTATGAAATGGATCAACGGCGGAGAAACTTTCGCCGAGCGGTTGATAGCTTTTGCTTGCATTGAGGGGATCTTTTTCTCTGGAAGTTTCTGCGCCATATTTTGGTTGAAAAAGCGCGGGTTGATGCCTGGATTAACTTTCTCAAACGAGTTAATCTCGCGAGATGAAGGCCTCCACTGCGATTTTGCTTGCTTGCTGTACGATCTCCTCCGGTCAAAGCTGAGCGAAGAGCGCGTGAAGGGGATAGTAAGAGAGGCTGTTGACATTGAGAGAGAGTTTGTGTGCGACGCTCTGCCCTGTGCGTTAGTAGGGATGAACGGCGATTTGATGAGTCAGTACATCGAGTTCGTAGCGGATCGGTTGCTGGGAGCTTTAGGGCACGGGAAAATATACAATGTTGCAAACCCTTTTGATTGGATGGAACTGATTTCGTTGCAAGGGAAAACCAATTTCTTCGAGAAAAGAGTTGGCGAGTACCAGAAAGCGTCGGTCATGTCCAGTTTGAACGGTAATGGCGACACCCATGAGTTCAAGATGGATGAGGACTTTTAGGGTTTGCTTATATTATTTTGTTTTTGATTGCCTTTGTATCTTATTTTAATTAAATGTCCCTTTCTTTATAGTAAATTACTTTTAAAATAGTCCATTTTATTTTCGTGTTTTAGAATAAAATTAATATAAAAATTATCAATTATCATCCAAGTATTAATGTATATTATTTAATAATAATATGATATAAATAATAATTTATATTAAATTTAAATAAACTAATAACTTAATTTTGAAATATAAAAATGATTGCATATCCATTAAGAAGATAAATATAAAATTTCAAAAAAATCAATTTTATTCTAGATAATAATTGTAGAAGATATATCATACTATTAACAATACAAATTATTGTTTTTATGATAATTCTTAATTTTTAATATTGAAAAGGGATGAGAGTAATATATTTAGGTTTGTGAATGAAACTAAAATGTTTAAAAGCTTAAGAACTAGTTTAGAATGATAGCTTTGGGATGAAATTAGAGTTTTTAAAAATTTAATGATTAATTTAAAATGAAGGTCATAGTTTGATGGTTGAACTTAGTTTCAATGTCCAATTTGGTACCTAATTCTTTTCGATCTAATTAGATATCTTAACTTTTTTAAGTAAAGAAGGAAGATTTCATGCCTGGCTACAATCCAACAATATATGATTTGAAAGTAGCAGGAAATACAGTCCAGATGACAAAGCTAAAAGATTGTGGTTTTTTCAACAGGATGCCATGTCCGAGTTTGAATTACTTTATGAACTCAGATGTTTGAGTTTGAATTACTTTATGAACTCAGATGATGTAATTATATCTTTTGCCTTCATGCTGAGAAATCATACCGATTTTCATTCTTCCTGCAAGTCGGTAATCAGATCCAAACATGAGTACAGAAGATACATGGTGAAATTTAAACCAATACGCAATAATTCATAAATAATGATGATTGCGGATTGTGCTTGTTGCATTCAAAGCAGAGAAATTAATGTCAGTATGTTTGGCTACCATTATTTGGTTTATATTGAGAAAGATGCCATCCGGCTGTAGGATTCAAAAACAACTTCATCCAGCATGCATACTCTATACCTAACCCCAATTAACACATTTATTTGAGTTTCAGAATGTAATTGATCATTTAATCCTTCGTCTTCAACCCTCAACAGCAAGAACACAAAAGATCTGACTTCTGAGAAATCAATCCGTGTCTGACAAATTCAGATTTGAGTATGTGCAAATGACTCTCCAAGGATTCTTTACATAATAATAAAAGAACTTGGGGGGGGGGGGGAATTTCAACATATGCATGTCGAACATTATTAGTGGCAGCAAATTTGGTTGTAACAATCAGTTTTGCAGCGAGTTGAGTGTACAAAAAAGCAATTGCATTGATCAGTTGAGTACAATATCCCTCATGGAAGACAAAATCACCATACAAAGAAAAGCTTAAGCATTAAAATTGTTCCATTCTAGTTTCTACATAATAATGACCACTGAGATGCCAAACAAGGATTCATATATAAAATGATACATCTGATTAAGAAAACTAATTCAGTTTTCCAGATCACCCCATCAGTAAGAAGCCTGCAATTTTCAGGCAAATTCCATTTTCCTCGAGTAATCAACAATCAGATTTTCAAAAATTCAGAGTTTGGGGGTTTCAGAGATTTAATTTTTTTAATATATTAAGATCAATATCACATCAATAACATGTAATAATACAATAAACCAACAAAGTAACATGAAAAGTAAAATTGAAATGGAAAGAATCGGGCCGCACCTAACCAGATCCAACAATAATGTTGTTAATGGGGATGAAGATGAGCTTGACGAAAAACCCTACGAATCCCATAACCACGAATCCGATCGCTGTACGAAACGCCACCTTCGTAAATTCTGAAAAAAGAAAAACCGAAATCTTTCAATTAGAATTCTCATGGATCAATAAAACCCAATATTAGAGAGAAAAGAAAACAGACAGGAGAAACGAGTAACCTTTTTGATCGGGCTTGTGGCATTTCTTGACAAGACGAACACTATCCTTAGCGAATTCTCTTAGCGGATCGAAAACTGAATCAATTGCGTCCATTTCTTTTCTTCTGGTTTTGCACTTTTGCTTTGGTCTTCGGAAGAAAGTTCCGAAATATTTAAGATCCATGGATCGGGGAGAATTCTAAAAGAAAAGGATAAAATATCCAGATAGTCACTAAAGTATGAGGTCTATTTTATTTTAACCATTAAATTAAAGAATATGTCAATTAAACTACTAAATTATTAAAATGTTATCAATCAAGTCACTGACGAACATTTAACGGAAATGATAACGCGATAGTTACGTAAATTTGTACAATTACACTTTTGATCCTCCTTACACATTCTATCACTTTAATTCAATAAATTTAATCTTTCATTCATATAACGAAACATGTTACAATCTGATTAGAGAAATTTTAGTTAAATTTTTTGTAAGAATTCTAAATTGATATTTTAATTATAATTCAAGGGTTAAAACAAGATATTAAACTTATTTTAACATGGCATATCATTATTTTGTTTCAATTTTAACATGAATTAATGATTTAATACTAAATGTTAGTAATCACATGTAACTTTTAAAAATATTAGTGACAAACAAAAGCTTACTCCAACTAGCACTTGGATCACTAAGATGAGTGGCTTATTCTCATCACAGCCATTCATATAAAATTCATTATCCTATGTAGGGATGGGCATGGGTCGGGTTTTTGGTCCACCCGACCCGACCCGAGAACAAGGAGTCCTCCACCCGAGACTTGACCTGACCAAAACAAGTTTTCACCCGACCCGATATATAATTTAAAAACCCGACCCAAAAAAAAAAATTTATTCAATAAAAATAATGACTTAATTGAAAAAACAATATATAGAGGAGTATTATTGTAATTATTCCTAAATATATAAGGTAAAATCATATATTTTTCGGGTAGAGCCGGGTATTTTTCACCCTAAACCCGAACCCAGCACAACCCGAACATTACATTAAAAAACCGACCCGACCCGAATTCAATTTTTTTTAAAAAAAACTTACCAGATCGGGTCGAAACCTGTCGGATTCGAGTCTCATGCCTATCCCTAATCTTATGCCTCTCACACTGTGAAAGGCTACTATTTCAACTTGTTGCCTAATATGTGAAACGGACCGAGCATTGTTTACTAATAGGGAGATATAATATCGGTGAAAGAAACATTCATGTAAAATTAGATTACATTAAATCGTTATAATTTTTTATAAGAATATACTTACGAAGATTGAGAAAGTCGAACGATTAATTGAAATCGAATCAGTTCTACAAAGACTTTCAATTATCGTTGCAACCGATGTTGCAATTTTAGTTGAAACACATGATAGCGTCTGTGAACTAACTATTTGAAGAATCAAACAAAATATAAAATAAATAAATTTTAAAATTTTAGAATGAGCTAAAATAAAATTATAAAATTTTAGAATGGGCTAAAATAAATTATTAATAAAAAATTTAAAAATTAATCAAAATATATGATAATTTAAAATTTTCGGAATACGATTGTCCTCATTCTCTCTCCCTTCTATCCATCCCTGTATGGGAGGTCCCAACTTGGCCTCAATTACTCCAAGCATGCAGCAATGATAGGTTTCATACTGGAAGTAAAATTCATCTCTCCTTTGTGAACTTCTAATAACACAAGGACTCTTCAAATAATAATAATTTCTAACAAAACTAATACTTTGGTCGGTAAAAACTTTTAGACGAGATTTTCCATTAGAAAATGCTTTTGTTAGAGATGAGAAAATCCGTCGGAATAGTTACTAGACACAAGGTAGAATTCTAAGAAAAACAATTCGGAAAGGTAAATAAAAAGAGGATGAACACCAATTGGAATCCGTGAACGCCAATTGTAATGATCAAGACGGTGATTATGCAGAAGTATATTATGGCATGAATTAGGATGGCTATCCCGCTTGTGCACATGTTTCCGAACTCTATCACTCGAGTCCTCGACGGCAGCTGGAACAACAACCCCGGTGACAATAGGATGAACAAGCCTACCGCGACGAAGACCGGTCCCCAATCTGCACTCATGATTTCTCTCCCTTCTTCCTCGAATTCGCTCTCAGAGCAAAGGGTTTGAATATATTTTTTTCGAGCCTTCCGATACAAATTGGAAACAGAAGAGGTGTTTGGAATACATTATATTAAGTAGGGGATGAATGGAACATAATTTCTTGGTGGCCAAGCGGATGCTAAACTTAGTGATAAATAAAAGAATGAGTTTAAAGGGGGAAGTAAGGTATTGTGAATGTTGCTTTTATGGAGAATGAACCAAAATGCTTCTTTTCTCAATAACATGTTACCATTGCAATCTCTTTTCTCATAAATTGCAGTTGCTGGGGGATCTCTTGTATATGTATATCATGTCTGAAATCTTCTTAAATCATATAAATTTTATGCTAAAAAATATTAAATTAAGATCAAATTGATAAAACATGTAAATTTTAAGCAATAATAGTTGAGCGATTATTTATGTAGTTTATCAAAAAAATAAATAAAGGTACTTTATGCCCTTAGTCACTTAACTTTATGATCTATCTTGTTTTGATCTTTTAATTATAAAATATTTTAATTTATCATTAAATTTATTGAATTTAATTTTTGATCATTGAGTCATTAAATCATTAGCGGTCTGATTGATATAATAAACAAAGGATTGTTGTATAAACTCTCAACATTTATTGAATGTATAAATTATTCATTGGTGAGAGCTTCCTGCTACTGCATGGTGATGGAATGAAGGGTGTAGAGTTAGAAGGATTGATCAATGTTGGCATGATTCAATCTGATTAAATTTCTCGATAACTGAATCCTTTAATCTGATTGAGTCGTGCCAATACCGACCATATTTGCTTGTTATATATATTATTTTATTTAAAAAAATTCATTCACGTTCATTGTTAATCTGATCTACATGTCATCAATAGTGTTGAATTTGCATTTGAATGCCATAAAAACAAATGCATAAACATGAAATTCTGAATATTTTTAATTAATTGGTTTACTAAAACAGTTTGATGATTATTCATTTTTAATGCTGAGATATTAATTCAATGTAAAGAAAATATTAAACATGGTTGGTTATTGAAAGAAAGTTGATTAAATCTTAACAAGCAAGCAAAAAGGCTGATTTGACACCTGCTCTACCATATAGTTCAATGTATCTTGGTTACTTCTGAGCTACATCTAAGCACTTATATATATATAGCCTTTTTATCCAATTATATTATTATTATTATTAAAATAACATCTATTTATAATTAATTTTGATATAATATGTATTTAGAGATAAATCTTATCTTCAATCATTTAATAATTACATATTTGACCAATATTTAAATAAGGCATATTAGGCTCTTGTACACTTTTTAAAAAAATCAATGTGGTGCTTAATTTTTTTTTACTCGATGTAGTCATTTGACCAATATTTTTGTTGTTGATTGTTATTGTACTGATGTGGCGTTACAATGACTAATGACACGGTAGATTGATCAAATTGGTTTTTTTGTCTTGTTTGAGGGCTAAATTATTTTTTAAAAAGTTTAAGGATTTATTTAATTTTTAAGGAAAATAAAAATTATTTTAAATTTAAAAATATATTATAAGTTATAAAATGAAAAATAAAAATTATTTTAATTTTAAAATTAAAAAATTAAAAATATTTTAAAAAGATAAGAAACATCGTAAGTTACTCGCATCAAAACTTGAACAAATTACTCCGACTAAATTAATCGAGACTTACAAAATCTTTTATCTGAGTATAATTAGGAAACATCGTAAGTTATTTGTATCAATACACAAACCGTAAATTACAAAATTTTTTCTCCAATAAACTTCCGACCAGACGCTCTCCTATAAACTTCAATGAACAATTTAAAGGAGAAAAAAGAAGAAAAAAAGATAAACTTTCTAATATTATAAAATTTCATGTGTTAAAAGATAAAAATAAATTCTTATATATTAATTTTACCTTTTATAAATGAACTCTTACATATTATTAATTTAAAAATTAAATCGAATATCATAAAATTTTAGTATCTTTTTTCTCTCGTCTATAGTCACCGCTTCTTTCTTTTTTATTTTGATTTGAAAGACGATCAATATCAGTCTTGGTGTTGAGGTTGAACGCCTATATTTATTATTTATCGTTTTTTTATATGCAAATTACGTTTTCTTTGTTTTTTAATTTTTAATAATTTTGATTTTATGATACGTTTTTCTCTACCTTTATGACATATTTTTTGGATAAGTAAATTTTATTATCCAAAGAAGGTCACAGTACAAAGAATCCAAACAAGGATAAAAACAAACTAATTACAACAAAATGATTATCCTATGCCCCAATTAATCATAAGTTTCATATTAACCAAATCAAGACTATTAGTATCTCTATTCCTAAGTTGAGCACTAACAATCTCTTTGATAGAAAAGAGCAAATCATCAATGGTTCTAACACATCACTGGAATAAACGTCTATTTCTTTCTTCCCAAACGTAGTAAATGAATGAGCACCAGGCAATCTTCAATATGGTTGTAAGGAGAGATTTTCCTTTCCAAGTCGAGGATGCCCCAAGCAAGAAAAGAATCCCAAGACATATGAGGCTTATCCAAAAGAGAAAGATTTAGAATTCTATTCCAAAGAGCAATAACCATAGGACATTCAGCAAACAAATGATTCCTCGTTTCAATGTCATCATTGCATAAGATGCAAGAGTTAACGGTAGTAATTCCCATACGAGTAAGTATTTCTCTAGTAGGAAGACGATCCAAGACTGCAAGCCAAGTAATAATGCTAAATTTGGGAATATGAAGGGGATACCAGATAATCTTGTGCCAGAATATTTTTCCATGCTTGATACGTAACTCTTCCCAAATGCTTTTAGAAGAAGAAAGTCCCAAATTAAGAATTGAAATAGCCTCAGATCTTATTTTCAAGAGCCTGTTAAAACAGTAGCTATAAGAGGGATTATTCAACATTAATAAGAATTCTTTGGATTTAATTACATAAGTGTAAATCCAGGCAATCCAAAGAGATCCTTCACCAACGAGGAGAGAATAAGATGTATCATGCAAACCTTATTCCAAGTTTTAAGATCTTTTAATCCCAACCCACCTTCAGATTTAGGACAACATAAGTTAGTCCAACTTACTCTGGCTCCTGAAGCTGCTGCATCAGTACTTTTCTATAAAAACCGAGAACAAAGCTGATTAATTCTGTTAATAACAGCCTGGGGAAGTAAAAACTGTCTACACCAGTAGTTAGCAAAGCTTTGGAGAACAATTTTAACAAGCTCCAATCTTCTTGCATAGCTGAGATGCTTCCCAGACCAAAGGTGAATTTTGGATCTGATTTTTTCAATAAGGGTAGAGCAGTCATTAGCATTAAGTTTTCTGGTAACAAGGGGAACACCAAGATATCTTACAGGAAGGAGTCCATGTTTGAAACCAGTAGAAATTAAGATAGACTCAAGATTTCCAGAAGAGATTCCAGCAGCAAACATATCAGATTTGGCTACATTTAGTTGAAGCCCAGAAATTTCATAAAATTTCTGTAGAACAGTGGTAACTCCAATAATTGATTCCAAATTTCCTTTACAAAAGATAAGAAGATCATCTGCAAAGGTTAGATGAGTAAGACCAATTTGCTTACATTTTGGATGGTACCCTAAAAGACCTCTAGCAGCAACAGTATTGAGGAGTTTAGAGAGTATATTCATAGCTAGAACAAACAAGATTGGTGATAAAGGATCACCTTGCCTTAAACCCCTTTTACCTTTGAAGTAACCAACAAGAGAGCCATTAAGAGAGATTGGATATCTAGCTTCAGTGAAGAAAGTTTTAATCCAGGCATTGAATTTAGGAGGCAGATTGATGGCTTTGAGAAGAGAAGAAATGAAGCCCCAATTGATAGAGTCAAAAGCTTTCTGAAGGTCAATCTTGATAGCACATCTTGGAGAAATATTTTTCCTTGCATAACATTTGACAAGCTCTTGTGCCAGAAGAGTATTGTCAATTATATTCCTACCCTTGACAAAGGCAGACTGGTTAAGAATTATGATTTCAGGCAGAAGGTTGGTTAGCATCTTAACAAGAATTTTGGTAATAGATTTGTATATGACTGAGCAACAAGAGATAGGCCTATAATCTTTTACCTTGCTAGGATTTGTAGTTTTAGGAACCAAGGCAATTATGGTAGAGTTAAAAGCTGGCAGCATGTAAGAATTGCTGAAAAAGAACTTAACAGCTTTAATGACATCCTCCCCTACCACAGACCAGGTGAATTTGAAGAAGTAAGGAGTAAAACCATCAGGCCCAGGAACCTTGTCATTTCCTTGAATAAAGAAAGCTTCTTTAATTTCCTTTGCAGTGATGTTCTTTTTCAGTTCTGCAGTAGCCTCAGAAGAAATATTGAGCTGAAGAAGGTGTTTTAGAGCTTGAAAATCATTGTCTTTAACATTAGGATCAACCTTTCCAAATTGGTTTTGAAAATAAAGGACAATTTCAGTGGCTATTTCATCAAAAGAATCAAGCATGCTGCCTTGTTCATTTTCAAGAACTCTTATAGTGTCCCTTTTGTTTTTTGAAGCAATGACTGAATGAAAAATTTTGGAATATTTATCACCCTCCTTGAGCCATTGAATTTTAGCTTTCTGTTTAAGGAACATATTTTCAGCAGATTCAAGACAATTAAGTTCATTCTGCAGGTTCAATTCAGTATCGATAGAGTTGTTTCCTTGAAGGGTAGAGAGTTGGAAAAGTTCAAGCTCTTCTTTCTTTTGATTAACTCTAGTAGAAAAATTACTATAACAGTCCTTATTTAAATTTCTCAAGCAAATCTTCAGTCTCTTTAGCTTGAGAAAAAAGAATAGCATAGGGTTTGCATGAATTGGCTGCTGCCAATCCTTTTGAACCTCAAGGAGAAAGTTAGGATGCTTGGTCCAGAAATTAAATAATTTGAATGGTTTAGGATGATTTGCATAGGAATCTTTATGAAGCCAAACAAGGGACATGCAATGATCAGAAGGTTCAGGAGCAATAAATTCCACAAATGAATTTTGAAAAGAAGAGACCCAATAAGAATTGACAAGGACTCTATCAAGTTTCCTAGCAAGGAATG